AAATCAATCAGAGGAAGTTAAAGCAGCTGTTCGAGAAGCGAACCGAATTCAACATGCTGCAAGACGGAGTAACGAGACTGCTGAGGAAACGGAGGAACGTCGAAGATCTGCACGTCTGCGAGCAGCACACTCAAGAGATATAGAAACCGATGAACAGCGAATGCAGCGGATAGAAAGCAATTCAATTGCCCAACAGAACAGACTTTCAACTGAAACAGTTCAAGCTTGCCAGGATCGACTTCAGCAGCAGAGAGTGCGACAAGGTACGTTTCGAGCAAGCAACTGGACGTACAAAGACGAAGCATTTAATTATGACCCTGATTTAAACTATTCCAACTTCCCTCAAATTGTGATTGGCGGCATGTCGGTAAAGCGTACGTACTGTGATGCGCTCAAGTTTAAAGGCGAGACACCTGGAATGTGCTGTTTCAATGGAAAAATTTCATTACCAGAGCTTCCAGAGTTGCTAGAGCCACTTAAGAGTTTAATGGATGGTGATCATCCTAAGTCGAAAGAGACTTAGAATTTTTACATTTTGTAAAATCATAGCAACACAGACTTTGAAATTTGTTTTATATTTCAAATTCTCTCTCGACTATTCCACGATCATTAGAAATAGAAGATGAAAGTCAATAAAAGATATTTCTTTTAATTAATTGTTTTAGTTTCCCGAGCGAAGTCGGGTAGTAAGGCTAGTGAACAATAAAACTAAATTAACACCCCTATTTCTAACTGTATGTTCAAAAAGTTTCTATCACTTGTGACCTTCGAGCAGTAAGTGCATCTCTGATGGGCGCTAACCGTAGTCTGTAATGAAAAGAAAGGCGATGATTAGTTTTCTTTGAATTTTTGACCGCAAGAAAGCAGATATACCATCTTGTAGAGAAATTTTTACTCGTCACGATGGTATATATATTATTGCTTCAAAAGGTCTAGTGTCAAAGTAAACTAAACTGAAAGGTTTAAGTTTGAGCCCCTTTTTGATACTGGTCTCCTCTAAACCAATGTTATTCAGGCGTAAATCGAAAATAAGTACTACTATGCATATACCGTTTGATCACTCAGACTGCGTACTTTCAGAATCCATATCACTTGTATTTGTATCATATCTGAGATGTGGCTTCTAACATTTTTTTTCTTTAAAATATGATTATTTTTCATGCTATTACCACAAATAACTTTCATAACTCTATGAAGATATTGCCTTCTGAATACGATTTTACTTTCAATTACGAACTGATGGCGTCAAGTATAGATCTTAATTACTTATAGTCGATGTTTCTGTGGAAGTACGTATAGCTTTGAAACGTGACGGTATAATGTGAGATCGAGGCAGAAGACTAGAACAAATAAGAAATTTGTCTTGGTCATTTGCTGTTTAAAACAAAGAGTATTTTAAAACACCCAAATAGTTTAGCAACGATTAAAAACCTTAAAAAGTTTTCTAAAAAGATCTGTAAAATTCTACTGAATGCGTTGAAGGGCTTCTGAAATTATTTCAAAAAAAAGATCTAAGACTAAACTCTTGCAAAATTTCTTCTAATTGGACGGGAGTATCATGCAGTAAGAAAGAGGTATCGTAGGTTCCATTAAAACTCCTAGACCCTTGCATTTTAAACAAAAAACTCACTACATTGTATTAAACTGGGCGAAAGAGTGTTTTCCGGAGCGATAGATAAAATAAGTATGTTTCTTCCGTAGTTCGATTTTCAAATGCATTCACGAAAATGTTGAGATGATTCTCAATATATGCACTCATATTCTAATCCATTCATCTCTGCAGTTGCGTTCACTTGATAGTAGACAAGGCACATGAGTATTATCGTCCAATACTGCGATCATTTTTGGTAAACTTTCCATTTTTTGACATCACCTACTTTCTCTAACAATCACTAAAGGCTTTTGTATTTTCTGAAGCGGATAATTCTAAAAATCTAGTGATGCGTCACGACACTTAAAAAGATTTAATTTAACGTACGTGTACAAGAGAAATGTCATTGAAAGGATGCACTTAGGTTCCAAACTCGTGATCCATGAAAATATCAAAATAAAACGAGTGAGCTAAACAAACCAACTAATTGAAACCATGACAATTGATTCATATTGGGTGGTTCTAACGCGTTAGAGCTACCCTAACGCGAACCAGCATTTGTCCTTCCTGGATTGTAAAGCGGTGAAACTCGTCTAAAAAAAAGAAAAATATTAAACGACTAATATTAAATATCAATTAAATATTTTTCCATCCTATCTAAATATTAGTCGTCAATATTTTTCTTTACTTATATGTTTTTCCTTTATTTTAAAATAATTAAATATTTTTCTGTCCGACCAAAAACTATTATAATATTAACGACATCATCAGCTCTGACATTTGTTTTCTTCTGAAAATAATAAAATATTTCTCTATCTTACAACAAGTAAAATATTTATTAGTTCAGATAGAAAAATATTTAATTGATTTTAATATTAGTCGTTTAATATTTTTGTTTTTGACATTTTCCAGCATACCCCTAATTGTACTGAATTTAAACAAGTTAGTTGTCTGAATGCCTTTGTCACATATATAGGAAAATCTTATTTCAAACAGCAAAATACACACCGAGGAAAAGCGTTTTCGACTTTTAGTTCTTGGAGTTACTGATAAAAACGTATAATTTTTGCACAATTCGTCGTAAATGAGTACAGATGGTGGGCCATGTGAATTCATTTAGTGCCCAGGGCTAGAAGTCATTGCATGAGAGAAATAACAAGTCATGCTCAATCAATGTCTCAGCTTTGCTTCTGACCAGTCCGATTTTGTTCAGCATGTGTGAAAGAAACTACAAATTCAAATTCTGAGCGTTCTAGGACTTTTACTTTCTGAGTTCTGAACGGTTTTCTAGAGTCCGCTCGATGGAAACTTCAGCGTCTAAAAAGTGGAGACGCCGACGAAAACAATATTTGGAAAAACTCTGAGTTCCGGGCGGCGATGACAAATCCCAGCTAAAAGTTTGATTGAAGAAAACTTTAGCATAGTAAAAAGGCTGTAATTAAGTGAAGACCATCAACCTGAGAATCACGTTTTCGCTGTTTTTTTGAAGCGTTTTGTTTTCGATCAAATAATAGCGGTCAAGTGTACGAACTCATTAAGTTAAGGGAATATCTATCTGTTTTCTATTATGTTTTACATAATAGAACATAATAGAAAACGGACAGATATTCCCAGCTCACAGAGTTGCTTCTGACTAGTCCGATTTTGTTCAGCATGTGTGAAAAAAAACTACAAATCCAAATTCTGAGCGTTTTAGGACTTTTACTTTCTGAGTTCCGAACGGTTTTTTAGAGTCCGCTAGATGGAAACTTCAGCGTCTAAAAAGTGGAGAACAAAAACAAAAATTCTGTTTCTCCGCGAAGACACGTGATGGAACAGGGATTTTTTCATCCTATGTGATCCATTGCACGGTCTATCCGATAATGCGATCAGATCGTTTTAACCTCAGACCTTCAGCGCGATAGCGAAGGTCTTCTGAGGACCTTAGAAGTTCATATTGTATGCCACCGGTCTCGAGCGTGTGGCTTAAGTATAAAATGAGATGCTTCTGGAAACCGCCTTAACGTTCTCGAAAAAGTTTTCAAACTACATAATTGGAAAGAGCACAAAGTTCTGAGCAAAATGAGATATCACTCATAGTTTCTAAATCATAAATTTCGATAACCTAAAAAATAGGTTTTCATGGTAAACTATTTTTGCTTGAACAACTGTTATTTTTTCACCGTTTTAAAATAATTCCTAAAATTATGAACGATACTTCATTTTGTTCAGGATTCTGTGCTCTTTCTGATTATGTAGTTTAGAAACTGTTTCGGGTTTCTAGAAGCCTCTAAAGGGTTTTCAGAGACTCTTATTAGGGGCCAAACTAATGAGACCGGATTCGGATAGTCCACACTTGAATGTTTATGGAAAGGGACATCTCGTTTTATACTTAAGCCACGCGCTCGAGACCGGTGGCATACAATATGAACTTCTAAGATCCTCAGAAGACCTTCGCTATCGCGCTGAAGGTCTGAGGTTAAAACGATCTGATCGCATTATTGGATAGACCATGCAATGGATCACATAGGATGAAAAAATCCCTGTTCCATCACGTGTCTTCGCGGAGAAACAGAATCTTTGGTTGTGCTCTCCACCTTTTAGACGCTGAAGTTTCCATCGAGCGGACTTTTAACTTTTTCACACATGCTAAACAAAATCGAACTAGTCAGAAGCAAATCTGAGACATCGATTGAGCATGGTCTTATGGGTATCTGTCGTTTTTCTCGTGCAATACCTAGGCATGCACCGGTGCTATCCGGTACATTTCACTTTTTTCTGGAGCGACTTGTATAAAACGTACGCATATGAAAACATTTTCCCCAGCAGCGTTTAATCTACCAAATATTTTTCTACATAAAACTGTTCATCTTTTCTTTTTCTACCACATTCAGTTTTCAGCGAAGGACTCAAAACCGTCTACACAACATAGTTTTCTCATGTTATATTCTTTGTTGTATTAAGGTTATTTGCTTTAATAAATGTCCAAAGTCACTAACTAATCTCTCAGGCACACGATTCGATAAGCATGAACCTAATATTAAAAAACTCAAAGCTCACTCAGAAATATCAGGACAAGTTGGAAACGTCACGATGTACAGAATTCAGGCCATTGTATACCGTATTTACACCAACGCTTACAAAAAATGATCCTAAAAGCATATGATTTTGTAAAGGTTTTCCAGAAAAGTTTCGGAAAGAAACATGGTTTTCCCGTCTTTTTTATCCTATAATCAGTTTAAACGGATAAAACTAATATTAGCCTGAAGTTCCAACTCGCCCTGATATTTTCTGATTGAGCTGTGAATTTTTTAATATTAGGTGAAAACAGAGTGGTAAACTCGATTTTCACCTTGCTCTTACGGTCTTATTTAAACGTAAAGATTGCTGTCAGATTCAGCGCGGTCGATTACGTATGTTCTATGCCACCTGAAGACCACCTGAAGCCATCTGGTACTAGTCCGGGCTTCAAGGGAATCCAACACCACGCCTGAGCCACTGAAAATGACGGTGCAACTGGACTGCTGATTAAAAGAGAACACTTCGGGCTACGTTTTCATGAAAAAAACTAACATATTGCTACGTTAAATTTTCGGGTTATGAACACTTTTCCAGAGATCCCTTTAGAAAATCCCTCAATAACTCATCAAAAAAATTTCTTCTTATGCTCATCCACGTTCCAAGTGTCTGGCTACACAATGGTGAAAACTGCAGACCGGTAGTAACGTCTCGGATTTAGTCGAACCGCAATCGCACATATTCTGTTTTGAAATGGACAGTAGTTAAATCTTGAGCTCATTCGTTTAAGTAGCAGTTTTAATCAGGAATACGAATGTTTTTGAAGTATTTTGAGTTGCAAAACAGCTTTTAACTAAAGAAAATATTAAGCCTTTCAATATGTCGTTTAGCTAGACTACCTGACTTTTCGGAAAAGAAAAAAATAACACTGTATT